CTGCATGGCCTGAGTTGCCAGCTGCAGCTGCTGCATGCTGGGAAGCGGGGCACCCAAGGGGGATGCTCCCGCACCACCCAGGGATGCCGGGTCCAAGAACGCTGCTTGCACGGGTGCAGAGGACAGGGAGGGGTTAGGTAGGGGAGTGAGGGGAGGTTTGGTTTGGAGTGGATTAGCAAAAATGTGCCCTCGCCCAGGGATGCCGGGTCCAGGAATGCTGCTTGCACGCATGCAGAGGACAGGGAGTGGAAGCCGGGAGGAGCGGGTTTTTGAGGCGCGGAAAACATTCGCGACCGCTGCTTGCATGGTTGCTGTGGATTATGGATAGGGAGGGGAATAAGGGGGTTGAGTGGGGGAGATTTCGAGTCACCCAAAAGAACGGTCCCGCACCCAGGGATGCTGGGGGAGGTTCGTGTTGGCTCACCGACAATCACAAACACATTGAGTCGTCTAGTATCTTGAGACAACACGCACGCACGCATGCACACACCAACGTGTCTCACCTCCAAAAGAGCCAGGCATGCCCATAGCCGCAGCAGCTGCTGCTGCCGCCGCTGTCGCTGCACTGGCAGCAGCAGGAGAGGGGCACACGCAGGAGGAGAAGGAGGCATCGGACAGACGGGAGAGGGAGCGAAAGGGAGATGAGTAAGAGGATGCATCATGCCAGAGGCAATAGCAGGTATGGGGGGTACTGGGTTGTCAAATCGAAGGTGGTAGGGGGAGGGAGAAAATGAGAGGGCGAATTCCTTTCTTCTTTACATTGCTTTTGGTGATATCAAGGAGCCAAATGTGCCTACAGCCGCCACTTCCCTGGTCGAAGAAAAGCAGCGATGCACACACGCAGCTGGGCAAAGAGAGAGACAGGGTCGAGAGGCAAGAGAAGACTTGAAGCACAGAGCACAAGGTGGCAGGTTCTCTTTCATGTGAGGACAAGAAGCAAAAGCAGAGGCGGAGGCAGGGAAGCAGGGCAGGCAGGCAGCATGAACCAAACGGGGAGAGACACAACAGACAGACGGACAGACCTGGGGGAGTAAGGCGAGGACGAGGAGGAGAGCTGGCGCTGCAGCAGCGGCTGCTGGTACTGGTTCTGCTGGAACTGCTGGGTGTGTGAAGCAGCAGAGGCCTTAGGCGCTGGCGGCTTGACGTGAACCCTCACCCCGGCAATGACCTGCTCCTTCACCTGCACACAGCACGAGATGTGGCGCAAAGGCAAAGGGACGATAGAGAACATTGGTGCAGCAGCAGCAGCAGCAGCAGCTCCTTTAGGGAGTCGACTAGAAAACTAAAGGTGTGCCTGCGGGAGGGAGGGAGGGAGGGAGGGAGAGAGCATTGGTGCGCTTCTTCAGGGAGAGAGCTACTTCTTCTTCAGTCAGAGAGCTGTGTTGTGTTGTGTTGTGTCGACTCAAAAGGTGTCCCCACGCGGCAGGAAGAGGAGCACGGAGGAGATCACGTTCGTTCTGGAAAGGAGGCTCCACTGTGCATGTTGCTTCTAATGCTCACCGCCGCTGCCTCTTGCTCCTTTCTCTGCCTCTCTCTCCCTCTCTAACCATCTCTCACCTCACTCACCCACACTCTCTCTCTCACTACCTCGCCGGCAAGCCACACCTGCATGGCGGAGCGTCGATGGTAGACAGGTGGGCTGCGGTTGACAACTGTGGGCTACTCTTCAAATTAGAGTGGCACAATACGCACCTGCATGGCGGAGCGGGCAGCATCCTCTGTTTGGAAGGTGACAAAGGCAAAGCCCCTGCTGGGCTGCGGATGGAACAGGTCTGCCACAGGGCCGTACCTGCAGTGCAGGTAGGGAGAAGAAACGTGGGGGGGTGATAGGGGGAGAGGAAACAGAGAGAGGGAAGGATGAAGGGGAGAGAAATGCATGAGAGAAAACAGAGAGAAAGAGAGAGAGAGGGAGTGAGAGAGCAGATGAAAGGGAACCGGGCACAGTACTAGGGAAGGAGATGGGTGAGGATGGAGGGACAAGTGAAACGGCAAGCAGCAATTTGGCCAGGGCAAGGCAAGCACTTGAGAAAGTAGGACCGCATTTCATCAGCGGAGAGAGCATCTGGAGAGCCTAAAATCCCCACAAACACCTTCCTCCTCTGCTCCGCCTCCCGCATTGACCCTCCTCGCTGCTGCTGCTGCTGTTGATGCTGGTGCTGCTGCTGGTGGTGCTGGTGATGCGGCTGCCATCTGCTGCCGTCTCCTAGTGGGTTATCTGAGAGGTGAGCGGGATAGGCAGCTGCAGGGGCAGATGGATGGGAGTCGAAGTGCGACGCACGGGATGACAGGGAGAGAGTGCCTGAGGAGGTGGAGGAGGAAGGGGAGGAGAACGATAGGGGGGGGAGCAATGGAGGAGAGAGAGGAGTGGGAGGAGGATGAGGAGGAGGATGAAGCGGAGAGGGGTGGGGAGGTGGTTGAGAGGAGGGCATTGGAGGAGCTCGGTGGTTCCAGTGGAAATTGATGCTGCGGCAGTTGGAAATCACGTGGCGGCCGTATTTGCACCTGGGGTGAGAGGTACGCAGAGAGGAGAGGTACACAGATAAATATTGTGTGTGTGTGTGTGTGTGTGCGCGCGCGCGTGTGTGTCTCCATGTGCATGTGTGTTTGTCTGTGTGCAAGAAAGAGCAAGAAAGTGCAAGAGAAGGATCAAGAGTGAGAAGGTAGCAGAACTGATGCAGGGAGTGGGTGAGCGAGAGTGGGTGAGCGAGAGTGAGAGTGAGAGACACCTGTCTGTTGTCAATGATGTGGTCTTGGCTGAGAACACGCACTATGGCCTCTGGATCACTGTGATCGCAGCAGGAGAGGGAGGCAGACGGGAGGCGGGAAGGGGGGAAAGAGCAGGGAGGGTGAGGTGATAGTTTCATAGTTACAGGGGTGCAATGCAGCCTCAAAGCGAGTGCAACCCCAACACGAGTGCTAGTAAAATGCCAAGAGCGAGCCAGCCAGCCAGCCAGCCAGCCAGCCAGCCAGCCAGCCAGCCAGCCAGCCAGTGGTGTGGTGAATGTGCTGTGCTGCTTACGAATTCCGAGAAATCACTCTCAAGACATACCTGAAGTTCACAAAGCCGTAACCTCTGGAGCGGCCACTCGGTTCTGTGATCACAGAGCACAGGGACACCTAAGAGAGGGGGAGGCAGGCAGGCAGGCAGGCAGGAACAGGCATGGGAAGGGCGCAGACAAGGAAACATGCAGAGACGGAATGATCAGCGGCGGCAGGTCAGTCAGGAAACGCTTGAAAGAAAAGCATTGCTACTCTTCTACATACCAGCGCCGCTTCCTTGCTATGTTCACTACCCTCTCCCCCCACTTCCCTCTCCCCCCACTATCCTCTCCCCCCACTACCCTCTCCCCCCACTACCCTCTCCCCCCACTACCCTCTCCCCCCACTACCCTCTCCCCCCACTACTCTCTCCCCCCACTTCCCTCTCCCCCCACTACCCTCTCCACCCACTACCCTCTCCCCCCCACTACCCTCTCCCCCCACTACCCTCTCCCCCCACTACCCTCCTCCCCCCACTACCCTCTCCCCCCACTACCCTCTCCCCCCACTACCCTCTCCCCCCACTACCCTCTCCCCCCACTACCCTCTCCCCCCACTACCCTCTCCCCCCACTAACCCTCTCCCCCCACTACCCTCTCCCCCCACTACCCTCTCCCCCCACTACCCTCTCCCCCCCACTACCCTCTCCCCCCACTACCCTCTCCCCCCACATTCCCTCTCCCCCCACTACCCTCTCCCCCCACTACCCTCTCCCCCCACTACCCTCTCCCCCCACTACCCTCTCCCCCCACTACCCTCTCCCCCCACTACCTCTCCCCCCACTACCTCTCCCCCCACTACCCTCTCCCCCCACTACCCTCCTCCCCCCCACTACCCTCTCCCCCCACTACCCTCTCCCCCCACTACCCTCTCCCCCCACTACCCTCTCCCCCCCACTACCCTCTCCCCCCACTACCCTCTCCCCCCCACTACCCTCTCCCCCCACTACCCTCTCCCCCCACTACCCTCTCCCCCCACTACCCTCTCCCCCACTACCCTCTCCCCCACTACCCTCTCCCCCCACTACCCTCTCCCCCCACTACCCTCTCCCCCCACTACCCTCTCCCCCCACTACCCTCTCCCCCCACTACCCTCTCCCCCCACTACCCTCTCCCCCCACTACCCTCTCCCCCCACTACCCTCTCCCCCCACTACCCTCTCCCCCCACTACCCTCTCCCCCACTACCCTCTCCCCCCACTACCCTCTCCCCCCACTACCCTCTCCCCCCACTACCCTCCCCACTACCCTCTCCCCCCACTACCCTCTCCCCCCACTACCCTCTCCCCCACTACCTCTCCCCCACTACCCTCTCCCCCCACTACCCTCTCCCCCCACTACCCTCTCCCCCCACTACCCTCTCCCCCCACTACCCTCTCCCCCCACTACCCTCTCCCCCCACTACCCTCTCCCCCCACTACCCTCTCCCCCCACTACCCTCTCCCCCCACTACCCTCTCCCCCCACTACCCTCTCCCCCCACTACCCTCTCCCCCACTACCCTCTCCCCCCACTACCCTCTCCCCCCACTACCCTCTCCCCCCACTACCCCTCTCCCCCACTACCCTCTCCCCCCACTACCCTCTCCCCCCACTACCCTCTCCCCCCACTACCCTCTCCCCCACTACCCTCTCCCCCACTACCCTCTCCCCCCACTACCCTCTCCCCCCACTACCCTCTCCCCCACTACCCTCTCCCCCCACTACCCTCTCCCCCACTACCCTCTCCCCCCACTACCCCTCTCCCCCCACTACCCTCTCCCCCCCACTACCCTCTCCCCCCACTACCCTCTCCCCCCACTACCCTCTCCCCCCACTACCCTCTCCCCCACTACCCTCTCCCCCCACTACCCTCTCCCCCCACTACCCTCTCTCCCCCACTACCCTCTCCCCCCACTACCCTCTCCCCCCACTACCCTCTCCCCCCACTACCCTCTCCCCCCACTACCCTCTCCCCCCACTACCCTCTCCCCCCACTACCCTCTCCCCCACTACCCTCTCCCCCCACTACCCTCTCCCCCACTACCCTCTCCCCCCACTACCCTCTCCCCCCACTACCCTCTCCCCCCACTACCCTCTCCCCCCCCACTACCCTCTCCCCCCACTACCCTCTCCCCCCACTTCCCTCTCCCCCAACTTCCCTCTCCATCCCATGTCCCCGACTCCTCCCGTGTCTCTGCCGCACCTCGCCGAATTGAGAGAAGTAGTTACGCAGGCTATCAGACGATGTGCCCCACGACAGCCCGCGGATGTACAGATCGCCCACTGGCCCTGCCCCTGCCGCCCCTGCAACCCCTGCCCCTGTTACTGCCCCAGATGCTGCTGCTGCTGCTGCCCCTGACCCTGCTGCCCCTGTCAATGCTGACCCTGCCCCTGCCCCGGCTGTCACTGCAACCCCTTCCCCTGCTGCCCCGGCTGCTGCTGCTCCTGCTGCCTTGAGTACCGTCGTCTCCTCGTTGTAAACCACAGCCCTGGAAACAGATGCTGGCACGAACTCAGCAGCAGCCGCCGCTACAGCAAACGCTGAGGATGCCGCTGGAAAGGCGGCCACGGCTGCAGGCGCAGCAGCAGCAGCAGCAGGAAGAGGAGGAGGCAGACGAGAAGCGAGAGCAGGAGCGGAAGAAGCAGCAACAGCAGCAGGGAACCTAGCAACGGGAGTAGCAGCAGCAGAGCCAGCAGTACCACTGGCAGCATCGCCAGCAGCAGCAGCAGCAGCAGCAGCAGGCCGTGTGATACCGCTACCAATCACACCACTACTACCAGCAGCACTGGCGGAGCTGACGGCGGTAAAGCTGATGCCACTACCAGCAGCGCTCTGTGCTTCTCTCCCTCCCTCCAAAGTCCCGTTCTGCACCCCAAACTCCGGTGCTGCTGTGAGCTGCAGCACTCCCTCCCCCACCTTGCGTCCCACCCATGGCCCTCTCTCTTCTCTGCCCACGTGACTCACATGGTGATTGTGATTCTGACCAACCACAGGCCATGCCGCCACAGCTGCGGAGGGGTTTTGTGGGGGGTGAGAGAGGATGGGGGGCGGGAGGGGGCGAAGGGGGATGAGCAAAGGAGTGAGGGAGTGGGGGATGGGGAATGGAAGGAGGAAGGAGCGGGAAGGAGCGGGAAGGTATGAGTGGATAGAAGGAGGCGAGAGCCAAGAAAACAATTTCTGAAGCTGTGAGGGTTGAGCAACCACCATTGCTTGCCTAGTTGGTCGGTTGGTTGGTTGCTACGCTACTACGCCTCCTTGCACGAGCAAACAATGTGTGCAGTGCACTCCATAACAATGTGTGCAGTGAAGTGCACTACATGGGAGGGAGGGAGCACACACACATTCGCTCTCTCCAACTCCACACCCAGCTTGACCTTGTGTTTCCATGCCACACATTGTTTGCAAAATCCCAGCCAGCAGGGCTGCTTGGTTCTCTCTTGTACAGCAACTCAGTCCACATCTTCCTAACCTACATTTCCCAGTGCCTTGCTCATGCCAATAAATTCTTCCCTCACCTCCCTCCCCTTCCCTTCCTTCCTCTCTCCTCTCCCCTTCCCTCCCCTCCCCTACCCTCCTCTGTCTCCTCTTGAATTTACCTACCTTTTTCCCCACCAACACACCAAGAGAATGCTGCATACCTGACAAGGCGCCGTCCAATCCTACATGTCCTCCTCCTCCTCCTCCTCCTCCTCCTCCTCCTCCTCCTCCTCCTCCTCCTCCTCCTCCTCCTCCTCCTCCTCCTCCTCCTCCTCCTCCTCCTCCTCCTCCTCCTCCTCCTCCTCCTCCTCCTCCTCCTCCTCCTCCTCCTCCTCCTCCTCTCCTCCTCCTCCTCCTCCTCCTCCTCCTCCTCCTCCTCCTCCTCCTCCTCCTCCTCCTCCTCCTCCTCCTCCTCCTCCTCCTCCTCCTCCTCCTCCTCCTCCTCCTCCTCCTCCTCCTCCTCTCCTCCTCCTCCTCCTCCTCCTCCTCCTCCTCCTCCTCCTCCTCCTCCTCCTCCTCCTCCTCCTCCTCCTCCTCCTCCTCCTCCTCCTCCTCCTCTCCTCCCTCCTCCTCCTCCTCCTCCTCCTCCTCCTCCTCCTCCTCCTCCTCCTCCTCCTCCTCCTCCTCCTCCTCCTCCTCCTCCTCCTCCTCCTCCTCCTCCTCCTCCTCCTCCTCCTCCTCCTCCTCCTCCTCCTCCTCCTCCTCCTCCTCCTCCTCCTCCTCCTCCTCCTCCTCCTCCTCCTCCTCCTCCTCCTCCTCCTCCTCCTCCTCCTCCTCCTCCTCCTCCTCCTCCTCCTCCTCCTCCTCCTCCTCCTCCTCCTCCTCCTCCTCCTCCTCCTCCTCCTCCTCCTCCTCCTCCTCCTCCTCCTCCTCCTCCTCCTCCTCCTCCTCCTCCTCCTCCTCCTCCTCCTCCTCCTCCTCCTCCTCCTCCTCCTCCTCCTCCTCCTCCTCCTCCTCCTCCTCCTCCTCCTCCTCCTCCTCCTCCTCCTCCTCCTCCTCCTCCTCCTCCTCCTCCTCCTCCTCCTCCTCCTCCTCCTCCTCCTCCTCCTCCTCCTCCTCCTCCTCCTCCTCTCCTCCTCCTCCTCCTCCTCCTCCTCTCCTCCTCCTCCTCCTCCTCCTCCTCCTCCTCCTCCTCCTCCTCCTCCTCCTCCTCCTCCTCCTCCTCCTCCTCCTCCTCCGCCTCCTCCTCCTCCTCCTCCTCCTCCTCCTCCTCCTCTCCTCCTCCTCCTCCTCCTCCTCTCCTCCTCCTCCTCCTCCTCCTCTCCTCCTCCTCCTCCTCCTCCTCCTCTCCTCCTCCTCCTCCTCCTCCTCCTCCTCCTCCTCCTCCTCCTCCTCCTCCTCCTCCTCCTCCTCCCTCTCCAGCCAACCTTTCCAATTCCCCACCCTTCTCTCCCATTTCCCCTCCTCCTCGGACCCCTCCCCCGGCTGCTAGGGTCGCCCCCAAGTCCATTACTACAATACTGCTTTTAGCCACAGTGACAACTGGCCGAGGGGCATCGGGGGTGACATTCGCGCCTGTAATGCTAACGGGTGGGCTGCCGCTAACGGTGCTGGAGGTTCCAGCGAGGTTACAACCAGCAGTGGCGCCTGTAGCAGCGGACGCATCAGGCGCCGCCGACGCTGATGCTGCTGCTCCTACCGCCGCAGAAGCTGCAACTGTTTCTGCGGGCAATGCCGCTTCGCCTGGCGCTGCAGCAGCAGCAACAGCAGCAGGAGCAACAGAAGCAGGAAGGGGCGGAGCAGGAGGAGAAGCAGCAGCGACTGCAGCGTGTGCAGGTACATCTAAGGGTCGTTTCGGCTGTGCTCGCAGCGTCGCTGCCATCACCACATCCACGCCTCTCACCACCCCACTCCACGCCCTCACCTCCGCATCCCGCCGCACTCCACCGCTTCCACACTTACCCGCTGCCCCTGCTGCCGGCCCTGCTGCACCAGTTGATGCTGCTGCCGCTGTTGCTGCTATTGCAGCACTAGGAGCAGCGGCATTGCCAGCAGCGGAAGAAGCAGCAGCAGCATTGGGAGCAGCTGAGGGGGAGGGAAACCCATTGGGCAGCTGCTGGCCCATGGGTTCCATCTCAGCAGTAGATCGGTCACTAATGTGATGTCACTGATGCCAATGGTCGTAGTATCGGGGGTTGTGACTGTATGAACGGAAACTAATCCGCGATCTAGAAACGTGGGGTGGGTACGCTAGCGTGCTGCAACCCACTCTCGTTTGCAGCGGGAATGTGAGCTGTGGAACGCGGCAGTTATCCTGCGTCGTCGATTGAACGCCCTCGGGTATCTTAGACCGTCGATGGCGCCGGATCGCGGCAAAAGACGGCTGTTTTAGAAACCGCGGAGGGATCTGCAGTAAATTGTGCCAAGCGATGGGAAAACGGGACGCGGAGGGACGAAGAGACGGAGACGCAACGAGGGAAACAGGCGGATCAGGAAGAAAACGCGGTGGCGCGGCGGGCAAAAGGAAAATCGGACATGGATCGCTGGCCTGGAAATCGTCGCAACGCGCGACGATGAACAAACTGGGTGGAGCATCGAAACACTGTAGGGGAAGAATGGGGAAAGAATGGGGGCCGGGCCTGGTTAGTGGCAGACGTGGTGGCGGAAAGTAAACAGGAAGGTAAGAGAGGCGCGTCCTTAACGATCCATGTTCAGGAACCAACGCGCGTGTAACGTGTCGGATCCTCGAACACGGCCTGTGTGAGCAACCCTAAGGCCCGCAGATCGCAGCGCACGCTACGGCTCCGTCGGGACGGAGAGCGCGCGTGTAAGTGTCGGATCCGCGTTATCTTACGCTGCCGGTTCGCGGTATGTGCGGCGCGTGCGGCACCGGATGATGCAATGAAAGTGTTGAAGAAAAGATTCCTGTCGACAATGCGTGGAAGGAAATGGATGTGCGTGCAGACCTGGAATTAGGGTTGGGGAAGACAACGCCGCGACACAGGTGGGCGCAATCGCACGGCTACGATCGCGTATGCCTGATGCCTGATCCGACGAGCGCGAGAAAAGGCGCTGTAACCAGCGCGATAATAAGGCCGTGATTCGCGGCTTCGCATTACCAATACGGTCGTGTGACCTAGACTGCGGCGGGACTCGCTAGACCAAGCGCATTTCGCGGCTCTTCCTGCATCCGATTTCCCTACCCTGCAGGCACCGCTTGAAGGCACCTCGGCGAAAAACGAAAGGAGTAACCATGCTGCTGTTATGGCGAGGGGACGCCACATGTGGAGCGCATGACTCGATATGCCACCGTCCAGCCAAAAAAGAAAAGGCGGCAATCGGCCAACTACACAGAAGATGTGCTTGAACTACCCAACAATGGCAGCAGGTAGACGGATTAGGGGATGCGAGGAAAGTAGGGGATGCAGTGCAAGCCAGTCTCGTCTCCCCCTCCACCCACCACACATAGTTGGCCTTCTGTGCTCATCAACCGCTACTAGGGCGTGGGCCCAATCGGGTTTGATCGCCTCGATCAGCGGCGATCAATAATTTCCAGGAAGCCTGGAAGGCAAATTCAGGCAATCAGGGGCAATCAGCTGATCGCGATCAGCTGATCGCTCAGCCTCGATCAGACCCGAAATTAACCCCGATCAGAATCGATTTTCCTCGATCACAGGCAATCAATTGACTGCTTGTGATCGGGGCACTCAGCGATGCTTGCGAGTAGTTACACTGTTGCACGTATTCTGAAACGAAGATCTTCGCCAGGTGAATCCTGGTTGTCAATCTCGCTAAAATGGTGACGAAAATGCGACGGAAATGTATCGCCGGAAAATCATCTCTGATCGGGCGGCTAGGGCACTACGATCACAAGCAACCCGATCAGATCCAACCCGATCAGATCAGTCGCGATCAAACTTGATTGGGCCCACGCCCTTAGCTCCGACCTGCCATCCAATCCAACCCTCGCTGGTTGTACCACGAGGGCGAGCGAACAGATGTATATTTTTTCCCTGTGACCACGTGCGTCGAAGTTTTCAACCACACCCCTCCTACTTTTCATTGAAATTACTACGCTTTGCATGGAATCTAATTGTGCAAGACACCCATCATCCCACCGATGCTCAAAGGTTCGAAACTACCAAGGATCTTGGATAGTTATTATGCTGTCTACCACCCCTAAGCAGTGTCGTTTAGCCCAGACCAATTGAGCTAGTGCTTTAATCTGACGGGAAAATGGAGCTGGTACTGGAGAATGTCATTGAACCTTGATTGCATAGTTCAGCTCTTCACGCTTTTCCCTCCTTGAGGGTATGTGTAAATTGTATTCAATAAGTCCTTGACCCCGGGCCGACAACATGCCAGCTCTATTGCAGGAACAGGGTTGCTGGCTGAGTGCTCACCTGATCTCTGTTACTCTGGGTTGAAGGGAAAGCTCCATAGCTGCGCTGCGGCTTCGCTTAATCCACCCCCACCAGCGGCTCGAGTTGTTGGAATGGAAGTGCACATCGTTCGTGTTCGCAACTACATACTAGGGTTATTCGTAAGCTCTTCGGATTTTTATCACTATATGGACTTCATTATGAAATCTTTGTGAGAAAGGAAATTATGACATTGTTATGAGAAAATATTCAAACATATGAGAATTGCTGATATAGCATATATGAAAATCAATTAGCATTTCCAGTTGCACTACAGTTGATGATATAGGCCAATGACAATAATACAATCTGAACCGTCTTATAGGATCGTCTTAGGTTGATGGCACGGACTGTAGCAGCGGAAGATTGCTAGGTAATGTCGGGTACGGACTCTGTCAGTAGAAGGAGATTTGAATCTAGACATAAGTGACTATTACAATGCGGTACAGGGGTTTATGTAGGAATACAGTGGAATACGAAAGGTCCTAGCTAGCCATGTACTCTCAGGGGGTACATTCCCCTTAGGACTAATCTAGATGCAGCATCTCAACCGTGCGGTTCGGCAACCATACGCGGTTTGGTAGCCGTTTGAACATTTCCCGCGCTTTGCACTTCAAATTCTTCCTGCTTGTAACTATCTCGTCGCTTGGTTTTTCGTCCTCGCTGCAGTCATCTTCGCGTTATGGACTTTTTACTCATGAATGTTTGTTCAACTATTCAATATTATAACAGACAAGCTAATATAGCTATAGTGAAAATGTACCATATTTCAATGAATTACATTGAATCCCTCCGTTTCAAGATGCATCGCATATCCATATTCAAGGTACTGTAAGGAAAAATCCTTTTCCTTACTTCGCATCCCTGCTCAACGCGTACATCATTGTAGCACCACAGTCAGCACCGTTACCACTCGCAACCCTCGCATCGACAATCTCCCCGCCACCTTCGCACATCGCACCCCGACCTCACGGCTCGGCGGGTAACCCGCGCTCCGGGCCTCCGCTTCGACACTTTTTCCCAACCTTAGTCCCAGGCCCGTCACGCGACAATCACAGTCCATTACCGTTACCACTATAGTTTCGCTATATATTCTTCGCTCATGCCTTCGCTCATTGTACTCTTGCTGCGATAGTGCAATTCTTGTTCGTTCACTCAATTGCACTCGTAACATTTGGTATCAGAGCCTACGACCTCTTCTCGGACCGCACTGTCAGAATGTTATCTTATGCTCTAGCCTGTAGTGCCGTGCTCTATAGCGAGTACAACCCTGTAGTGCGCTGCTCTAGCCTGTAGTGCGGTGCCCCGTGGCGTGCGGCAGTTTTTCTTCCCGCCGTACACCCGGAGGCGCGCGGCGGTTTTCTGCCCGCCGTGCGCCCCGAGGCGCGCGGCGGTTCTCTTCACGCTGTGCGCCCCGAGGCGCGCGGCGGGCTTCTACCCCGTCCCTCGCTGCGTCGCCCTCGGGAGGCGTTGCGACGGGCGACGGGGACCCGCGCGTCGCCCCCCGTCGCCCGTCGTGGCCTGCGCGCCGCCCGTACAGGCAGCGCGCGGCCCGTACGGGCTGCGCCAGGACCGGCCTCGCCCCGGCCATGCTGCGTCGCCCGTCACGGCGCACCGAGGGCACGTGCACCGCCCCCCCCCCCCCCCCCCCCCCTCTTTTCCCGTCGCCCGTCGCGGCTCCCTCGGGGGAGGGGGGCGAGCGCCACCCCTTCTGCCACCTGTTTTGGCGCCCGAAGAGGCCGCGCGTCAGTCCCCCCCCCCCCCCTCCCCCGTAACCTCCCTACCCGCCATCCCGCCCTGCCAGCGTTAGGGTTTGTGGGGTGGCGAGTAAAGGGTGGCGAGTATGGGGGTGGCAGTTGTGCATTCCTCCCTTTGCTCCTCCTCCTCCTTCGTCTCCCACTGCTGCAGCTGTCGCTGAGGGGGGTGGATGAGTGGGAGACTGGGGTTTAGGGTTTAGAAGGGTGCGTGGGAGTGGAGCTAGGGTTTGAGCAGTGGGCGTGTGCCGAGAGTGTGGGACAGTTGGGGGAGGTTGAGTGGAGGCAGCAGTCTTGTCGTCAGCAGCAGCAGCAGTCCGGAGGCTACAATCTCCGGTAGTCGCCAGTCGCCAGTCGCCCGTGAGTCCGTTGCTCGTCTGCCGCTACTATAAGCCGCGGGGCCAGTTACTCCAGTAGTCCGGAGCGCTGTTCCGGTAGCCACTGAGCCAGCAGCTTGTCTGTTTGTCTGCGGCGTTAGCAGTCGCCTCCCATCTTCTCTCCCCCACAGCTCCTCCTCCTCCTTACTTGTCCGCTGTGATTAGCTTTAGCTTTGCTCATAATTGTGCACTTTTAAACTATTGCCTCTTGTACTTGTGCTCAGAATGTGTGGTGACATTGTGATCCACCCTGAGCTTGTTCTATACCTGCTTGCTCTGCTGATTACACCCCACTTTGGCTATGGGGGTGTGTCAGAATGTTATCTTATGCTCTAGCCTGTAGTGGGGTGCTCTATAGCGAGTACAACCCTTCTAGGTTTTGCTATTTGTATCCTCATTCTTGCTAGTGCAATCCTCTTCTCTCTTCTAAACTTTCACACGCACCCACACCTTCGCTTCCCCACTATCTCAATTTTTGGGGGGGGTAGACGTCCCTCAGCGACACAGCACCGCCGCTCGTAGTGCTCTCTCGTAAGCACGCACGGCCACGACTGAGGCTCTCGCTGAGCTCGCCCGACACCCCCGCCATGGCCGAATTCACGCTCGCCACATTGACGCAGGAGCAGCTCGACCGTCTGGTGCGCCAAATCGAAGATTCGGAGCTCGAAATTGCGACGCTCACGGCGGAACGTCACTCCGCGCGTCAGCAATCAACAATGAACACTCCAGCGCCACCACACGCACCGACAAATGCATCTGCACAATCAGACGAGCCGATCGTCATCTCGTCCGGCACACCAACACAAAACAACAGTGTGGGACAGCGCTCAGGCGCAGCCAGCGATGGCGCCGCCCAGCCGATGCCTGGCATGGGAGGAAACAGGGTCGCACCAAGCTCGCGGGAGCCTCACGAAGCCCGTCGGCACGTGGAGTTCGCGGTGACAAGTGGCGAACAGGCCATCATGGCACCAATGCCACTCAAGCCGCAACGCTCGCCCTGCTTCGACCCGAGCCAGTGTGGAGGTCCGACGGTTCAATCGTGGGTCTTCACGATGAACGTCTTCTTCGACGCGAATTACGTCGAGTCGGACGCAGCGAAGATTCGGTATGCAGTTTCGCTGCTAAGGGGCCCCGCCATGGACTGGTGGCGAGTCATCGTGACGTCGCCACGCGCCTACGAGCCACTGTTGCAAGAGGAAGGGCCCACGTGTCCAGCTGTCACCTGGAGTTCATTCTGCGAGACCGCCCAATACTGCACGTGGGATGCGTCGTGCACAAGGCTTCGGGCGCGCTTCGAGCCGATCGCGGCTTCTATTTCGGCGCGTCAGAGGTTGCGCACTTGGCGGCATCTCGGGTCGGTTCAAGATTACACGAGCGGTTTTCTCGCACTTTGCGAACAGGTCGGCTACATGCACGAAGCGGAGCGGGTGGACCGTTACGTCTGAGGGCTGAAGCCAGACATCTCGCACGAAATCATGCTGCACGGACTCTCGAACTTCAACGAGATTCTCGCGCTCGCCGAGAAAATCGACATTTTACGCCGTCCGAGACCGGGGTCCTACTATGGACATCGTCCTCGGGGACCGATCGAGCACGCCACTGTACACGCTGTTGCGACGAATGCAGCTGCCGCGCCGTTTAAGGGGCGCTGCTTTGCTTGCAACAGGCCGGCCATCGCAAGAGCGAATGCCCAGAGGAGCTAAGGCGCCGCGGAGCAGGGGAGGGAGTCTCCCAGGCAGGGAAACACCAGCAGTTAGTAGGAACCGGGCCAACTAGTGACGAGACTGCTGTGAGAATAAGCGAACAGGAATGAATGAACTAGCAGTGAAATGAGTACAAGTAGGAAACCCTAGAATTGTGTACCCCCTATAGGCTAACCCACTGTAGCCTACACAAGCAGAACATATATAATGTTTGACACACCCCCATAGGCAAAGTGGGGGAGAACAAGGGGTCACAAGACCAGTCAAGCAAAGCAAAGCAAGCTCAGGGTGGATCACAAAGTCACCACACAGTCCGAGCACAAGAGCAGGGCCAGAGGCCAGTTCACATGCAGGAGTACAGACATATATATAAAACTAGACAAGCAAGAGCAGGTATATATATATGTCACAGTACAAGTGAAGTCAAGAGGAGAGCAAGTGAGGCAAGACAGGCACAAGACCCAGCTGGGTGCAAAAGCGCTGATGGTCACAAGGCGCGAGTGCCTTGGTGAACACATCAGCAGTGTTGGCCTCAGAGGCCACGTACGCAAGTCGCAACTGACCACGCTGCTGCAGCTCACGAGCAAGGAAGTAGCGGAGAGCAATGTGCTTCGTTCTGTGCTCCAAGCGCTGCTCTCGACACAAGGCCAGCATGGCCTTGTTGTCTACGTACAGCACTGGAGGAGAACGAGGTGGCTCTCCAAGGTCAGTCAGCAGGTAGGTGAGCCAGCGAAGCTCCTGTGCAGCCATGGCCCCGGCGTAGATCTCAGCCTCACAACTGGAGCCGAGAACCGAAGACGAGCGAGTAGACCGCCACGAGACAGAGCCCGAACCAAGGCTGAAGGTGTAACCCTGTGACGACCGCTGCGTAGCCTGGTCGTCAGCCCAAGAAGCGTCCGCGTGGCCGGTAAGGACCACTGGACTCCGCCCTCCAAGCACTAGCCCCATGCCCGACGTACTGCACAGGTAGCGCAATACCCTCTTCGCTGCAGTCATGTGCTCTGGTCTGTGTCTCCCAGGAGCAACATAGCGTGCAAGAATGCTCAGAGGGTATGCAAGGTCAGGTCGTGTGCAGGTCATCAGGTACATGAGGCAGCCAACAAGCTCTGCATACGGACCACTCGACTCTACGGACTCATCCGAAGGCAGAGCTGAGAGTGAGTGGCGAGTAGGCAGAGGAGTGGCC